CAAATATAAATGATCTACATTTTTCAAAGATATCTACAAATCAAACTTCAAAATCAACATGTGTTAATTTTTTCTTTAAGCTATATATAAAATAAATATTAGTTCATTTTTTCAAATGGAAAACCCCAATCATATAAGTGCCAAGACCAGACCGCCGACGGGCGAGAGATCATCAGCAAAACACGGTCGATTCTTGAAGTCATCTGAACTTTGTCTTTAAATGTCCTCATTCTTGTTCCGATGGCCTTTTCATGATAGGTCTCAATTTATTTCTAATTGTTTCGGCAAAAACTGACATTTACCCTTACGTTAAAAGAACTATTAGACTCAATTGAGATATAATTGTAAGTGTGTTACTATTTCTTGAATACTATGCTAACTTTTTGTTCAAATAGGAACTTAAAACAATAGTGTGGTAAAACACCACAAGAGCCGTAATGCAAATAAAGCAATGATTAATTACCCGATGAAACCTGGGTAACGAGTCTTTTGGCGGTAAAACTACCATATGCTTTTAGCGACACATTATTGTATTGACTTACCTTTAGTCGCCATGGCGACCGCTGCAACAAGAAGTAAAGCTTTCCAGTATACTGCCATGATCCAAAGTTCAACCTGTTTGAGTGTTAACTGCAATTTACAAAAAAAGAATACTAAAAAAATTTATGTGTTATCAGATAAAATGCGATTTGACGACTAATCGTATAAAGGCTGTAATAAAAGTTTAGAGCTGCATTATTGCTTAAACATGGAGGTATGTCAGATGGTGGTAATAAATTAACCAAAATGATAAACAATAAGCCCGCATTCCTATTCCAGATCACTGAAATAGTTAATAATTTAATGTCCAGTTAAGGTTGGACTATTTATCAAACAAATATATTTTTCATTTTTTAGATTTATTTATTGGAATCATATAAACGTAATTACATAAGAATGGTAAAATACAGCCCAGGAGTGTATAAATTATCACAAGTTGAAATATATAAAATTGCATATCATTTTTGGTGCTACAATGTGTAGGGCTATACTAAGTCATGTAAGCCAAACTGGTAAACAATATAATTATAACGCATTTCAATCGAACCTCGAACTTACATGCGATGCAATTTATTTTGGTCGCTAACATTTAAAGAACTGCTAAATGAAAAATATCATAGCTGTATGTCTTACCGTATAAATGAGCAATAGAGAAGTGTTCCTTCTGCTGGGTCCTAATAAATTAATGCCTTAATTGTTAAGCGTATGCTGACAACTGTGTTAACCTTTCCTTATTTGTTGCTTGCTCTTCACTCAAGACTTCCTCGTTTTTCAGCTCTTCAATTAACATTAAACCAACTTCCTCGTGTGTGACATTCAAACCAGGATATAAAATTTTTAAATCGGTAAAATGTCAAGTTGACGGTTCTCGCAATCCAGAATATCGTGCGCAATGTTGTTTAAGTGCATACGCGCAACTAAGCTTGGTGCTCTAAGACGAAAAGTCCTTAGATAAGTCACGACACGTTTTCGTTTTTCTCCGAAACGTTTATGATTAATCGTCTGTGTTATCGTGATAGCAATTGGCTGTGTTGTAATTATCAAATAACAACTGTTGAATAGTAGTTGTGTACAGATCATATACTTTAATGATTTGTGTAATGTTTATTTCACTCTCGAAGATAATCTAGCGACACCAGGTGAAAACTAATCAGCGGACCCTGGTCGTTTTGGGATGGTAGTATAGGCCTATCCCAGATTATAAATACTCAAGCATCGTCAAGGGTGTCGATAAACTAACGATAATAAAAGCTGTTCATACTCAATATTCAATTATGCCCCTGTTTGTTGTTTGAATTAGTGTTTTATGAACTATGAAGTTATTAGGGGATTGGCTGTCTAAATTCGTGCCTCTCATGACACACTCTCCTCCATAAGTTTACAAACAAGAGGCTTTTATATCACGTTGCTATCACTTGACACTATAACGTTACCCAATTAGAGAGTACAACATGTAACAATGCGGTTGGTGGCTCAATTTGCTTGTATTAATTTTTCACAAATAATAAATAACATATATACATATATTTTACAACACACATGTGTATAGTCAAATACAAAAAATATCATGTAATATTATATAATAGGGGGCTAAAAACACCCATCGCAAAGCGAGCCCCATCCACAATAGCACCAAACTTCAAACGATGACACACTCTCCTCCATAAGTTTCAAAACAAGAGGATTTTATTGGATAGCATCAAATCATCTCGATGCTTGAATTCAATTTAATGTACCTTATTACAATTCAAAAATTCGGAAATGAGTGACAAACTTGATTCTTTTAAATCGTCAACCTTGAACATACTTTGCTAAGTACCATTTGCATTCGTTTGACTTCACTTCTTAAAAGAGAGCATCGTCTTCGTCTTGTAGTTTTACTAGACTCTGCACGCAGGGTATTTGCTAAGTGACCCAAAATGGAGACCTGCGATTGCCAAACCTATGTCAAGGGGTATTGTCTAGACTAGCCTTCCAAAGCAATCATGTCAGACAAATTGCATGACAGGACGGGTGCTGTGCGTATTTTTGGATTGGGGTGATGACCCAAGGTTTTGTATCGTGATCATGATTCATGAGTAGTTAGGAAATAGGTTTTCAACAGTATTTCCCTGTGCATTAGATCATGCTTTTGGTAATTGGGGGCTTGTTGTTATTATTTTGTGCGCTTATGTTTTTCTTGCAGTGTTCTATGCTGGTCTGTGCTCTTTTCTCCTTGACAATTGGGTAAACTCAATGAGATTTAGACTAGTATTTGAATTTTGCTTTTCTACATTCCCCTTTGGTTATTTTTTATGTTCTATTTACGTTTCATCCACGGTAAACATGCTTATTAGCAATCACTATACACAAATTAAAATCAAAATAGTGTCAATTGTATTGATGCTATTGTTGGTTAAAGTTGACCAATTTTACCAAACATATTTCAAGTTCGGAAATGTTCATGCCAATATAGAACATTGACCTTTAAGCGCCATTGACTTATAAATGTGACCTTGAACTCATGAACTCATATGACACCGATAGTGACATAAAACTTTGAGTTCAATCTAAATCCAATGGAAGTGGTCGTTTCTAGCCTTTCCAATGATAGGAACTATCTCTACTCCCGAGCACGTTAATAGCACTCAAAAATATATTTGATGATCGCTCTTGACACTGGGGTGCGTTAAGTCTTGCAGGTGTACATTTACTTGCCGGAGTACTTGGATATGTTGTTTTTCAAATAAATCATGATTTCAATTTCTCTATAAACATTTATAAGTAGATCTCAAAACTCAACATGCTATAATTAAATAAGTAAACACGTTATATTCATGTTAGATAAAAACAAATTGTTTAAAATTAACTTCTAAGAAGACCAACCTTGTTATAGGCCTACATGTGGCACTTATGATTTAAACAAACTTTAGCAGTTTTCCTTGTTAAGTTAGCACTAAGAAAACGTTCTAATGAGATTTGTAGTGTTGATCGTAATTTGCACATATCCTTATCCTAGTGTAGGCATCAAATACCTTTTTTAAAACTGGCCATAATCTTTAAACAGTCCAACATTTTCAAAGAATGGTGGCGAATTTCGCCCAAGGGATTTTTCTGCTAATTGATTACTTGCACGTGTCAGGGAGGTGACATTTGAGGATATTGATGCCTGTTATCTGATGTGAGCATTAGTTCTGTCTGGTATACAATATAATGTTTGCTACAAATCAAAGAATAAATGGCGATAGAAAAATATTTTAAATAAAGAGGGCAGGTCAATCAATCAGTGTTTGATTCTACCATTCTGCCATCTTTATATCGGCCAAAAACCTTTACTAAAACTAAATCGTATTTTGAAACCGACCAGATCATGATGAAAGAAACTGACCGCATATAACAAAACTGATCATGATATACATCTTTATTAAATCATGATAATGGCCAGTGTAATAGGAATATGTATAGATGTCTTCTTCCACAGACCATAAGTCATACATCATTCGGCGAGGCAATTGCCTCACCAGTATACCTCAGAAATATTTATTCATGAATACGTTTCATTCAACAGGAACTGAGAAATGAAGGATAGATGGAGTTATATTACTCATTTGGCTTCAATGGTCTTTTTCATATACCTAGCCATTTTATCGTCTTGACATTTTTATCCTGGAAAAGCACTTATTGACAAATGCCTCGTGAATATCATGGCCTGGAATACTAAAATCATATGTTTTTACCAGAAAAATATTCATAAATGGTTCAAACATTCTCTCATACAATGGATATGAAAATGTTATGCATGCTCTCCAGGGTATTCAAAAAATTGTGAAGTTAGCTAAAATGAGACGAATATTTCTTAATTTTCTGCTCGGAACTCGTTATTTCACCCGAACTTAAATATCAAGGGTACAAACATGAAACATAAACTTTTAATCCTTCCGGCACGTTCAAATATCCATCAAGACTCCATCAAAGGTATATACCAGGTTGGTGTCGAAACAACGCCGTGTGTTCATATTTAGCGCAGATGTAACCACATATAGTTTAGCCGGTACGTATGACGCCTTCGCCGGTGTAAAAGGGTAGAAGGTCCTATCAAATTATGGTCCTACTCTCTTTTGATTTGCATGGTGACCTAATTTCAATTATTTTCCTTATTATTATACACAGTAAGGGCCAGAAAGGGCTGTTAAGAAAGGGGACCATAATTTCTATCACACTTGCTGACAATTAACATATAGCATTTTTGCAGAGGGGTCCCTTCGTTCTCTTTTGATTTATTCTCTTGGGATTTTCATGGTGTAGCCAACAATTTGACGACTCAGTATAGGTATGACATCATAAACTGTATATCTCGTATATTGTCTAAATCCAACCTTTTCATAAAGTTTAATTGCCTCTGTTGCGTATACATTTGTTTTAAGTATCAACTCTTCATATTTTTGTTTTTCGCAATGCTCTATTACAGTATAAACCAATTTTTCAGCTAGTCCATTACGCCTGTATTTATGTCCTATTGCCAAACGAACAAGTTCTCCTCTAGTGTCCACATCTAGTTCTTTAAGTCCAGCACTGCCAATTAGTCTCCCTTTGTGGAAGAGCAGCCATAAAGGATGGGCAGGATCAGTCCAATATTTTACAAACTTGTCATAATCCACCTGTTTTGACATCTGCATTGGGGGAATCCACCAGAGAAGAAAGAAAGACAAGGGAAGGTATATTGCCACCATAAATATAAAAGGGGTCCATAAGGATCCATTCAGTTGGTATGACACCCCAGCTGATACTGCTAATACACTGTATAGTATGGGATGAAACAGAAAGTATTTTAGTACTCTTGGAATTAACTCACTGAATGCAGTAAAGGCCATATTTCTCACTTCTTTCCAGTTGTCCTTCTTTGGGTCAAACAGGCGTATCTCAACTTCATCATGTTTGATTTTAATGGGTGGTTTCCTGCTGAATAAGCCTATCATCATTGTCTGTAATAATAATCAAATTTCATTTAGTTTCCTTGATATCTTTCTTTTCAAGTTAATCGTGAGATGCAACAATTTCCAAAGTATACAATTTTGGAATGTTAGGTTCTTTTGAACCAAGAGAAGAATTTTGATTTATTTATCGAGTATATGATGATTAATTGTTATGTGCCGAATGATTTTAGGATGTAAATAATGGCATTCAATTTACTAGTATATAGAACATTATTGTGGTTTTGCATGTATCTTTATAAGTGCAGTTCTTACCACTAAATCAGCCTACCACTTTGTTAATATGTCTTGTCTTCAAATCACCCTAAAACAACGAGCGTTGCATCAGTTTTATTATCAGAATTATCCTCGTGCATGCTAGTGTATGCAAACCAAATGACTGTGTTCATTTCTACAGCCTGACAATCTCCACATTTTGAAATGAATTATGGACGCACCATGTAAAAATTAGGATAGGATTTTCTTTCATTAGACAATTATAACTATCATCTCTCCGAACTGTGAGTGACCTGAAACCTTTAGATAGGCTATTCATTTTAGTTGCCCTTTAAGAATGAATAAAATTTGTCAATTCAATGAAACCATTCAGTTCATTTCAATTGTGGCAATATATCACTCTTTTAAACTCAACGAAATAAAATGTATTCATACACCACGGCCACTCCAAAAGTTTGGCAACATTGAACTAAGTGTTAAAGCCTCTTTTAGGGCTGGAAATATAAATTGACATCATTTCCAGTGCCTCCATGTAAACCAATGGGAAATGGTAGGTTTGCCGCAAGTCATATGATAGAATATTCATCCATCCGAGTGCAAAAAAAAGTTAGGTAGTCAATTGAATTTGCTAACTTTTAATAAATAAATAAATTAATTAAGTTACATTTCCATCAAATGTTATAATTATTTCCCTCGCAGGTTATGTAAATAAAAATTCAAACATACATAAAGAGGCTTTAACACGTAGTTCAATGTGGGAGCTAAGATTGCTAAACTTTTGGAAGGGAGTGTATCTCTTTGGTGATCCCAAACTCATTAACGATGAAATTGACAATTTGTTTTTGTTGACTTCGACATTTCGCTTAGAAATCTTTTGAATTCTTACATTATCTGACTACCTTGTAGATCCCATTTAGTCAACCATCTGGTTTAATCGTCCCTATCAGCCCAAATCAACTCCAACTTGCCAGCTTTGAAACAGTTGGTATGTTTTATTTTATACTTTTCTTATACATATTTGTTGCTTTGTATTTGAAAACTAACATGAAATGACAAAAGTTGATTTGTCGCATGATCATGTATAATGTTATAGCAAATCTTGCATTGATCACATAAACCAATTGTTTAAATACCTTAATGATTTGAACATTAAAAGGATGCACTTATAGGTCAGGAGCGTAGCGAGAAATTGTCAAGGGGAGGTGTTATTTTTGGACTGCATCACTGCGAGACCATAATTTCTTAATGTTGTTCAACAAATTTAGCAAAATTGCTTTTTTCTTTTTGTGGGAGTTGGGGGGGGGGGGCACCCCTTGGCGGCTATGCAGGTCGACATTATGGTCTTTCTTATGATTCTTGGAGTCAATAAATGCTGTTTTACGATAATAGTTATAATTTATGTAATAGAAAATATTGAAAAGAAAAGCTAACAAAATACAATTTATTGACCTACAATGCTTTATTCATTAAAAACTTGAATTCTTATCCTTTCTATAAACTATATGTAAGGATACCCTGAAGCTTAGAAGTAAGTAGTAATTACTGTCTTCTGGTCTTCTGAAAAGGACAGATAAGCTAAACTACACTGTTTTCATGCTGATAAAAGCTTAATAATTATGACTCAAAATGAGGCTTCCGGGCTATTTCAGAATGATTAAATGGCAGCTGGTTTTAGGGCATAATTTTCTGTTAGTGCCTGGTTTAAATCAACCTATTCTGAGTAGACTAGACCAAAAGACTCTTATTGAGAACTCCTTCAAACTGAAACTGCGTAGAGAAGTTCTCTTTTAAGAAGTGAAATAAAAATGGTATTATTTCCTTGGAAACTTAATTCTGTAACAATTGACATCCACTCCAAATATGGGTTTGATGAAATATACCTTTGTCTTTTCATACAGTGTAAATCCACTTTTCTCATAAAGTTTCATCGCCTCTGTTTGATATGCACTGGTCGCAAGTATCAAATCGTTATATTTGTACTTTTCACAATACTCTATTACAGTATTAACCAACATTTTTGCTAGTCCATTACGCCTGTAGTCAGTTGCTATTGCCAAACGAACGAGTTCTCCTCTAGTGTCCACATCAAGTTCTTTAAGTCCAACACTGCCAATTAGTCCCCCCTTGTGGAAAAGCAGCCATAAAGGATGAGTAAAATCTGTCCAATATTCTACAAACTTGTTATAATCCACCTGTTTAGACATCTCTGATTCGGGAATCCTCCACAATAAGAAAAAATACAATGTAGGGTAGATTCCCACTACAAATATGAATGGGTTCCATAAGGAGCCTTTCATTTGGTATAATACCCCAGCTAATATTGCTATTACACTGCTGAGTATGGGATGAAATAACAAGTCTTTCAATATTTTCGGCGTTGTCTCTGTGAATGGAGTAAAGGCCATATTTCTCACTTCTTTCCAGTTGTCCTTCTTTGGGTCAAACAGGCGTATCTCAACTTCATCTTTGTTTACCTTTATCAGTGGTTTATTGGAGAATATTCCCAGCATGGTGTCTGTAACATAATTGTATGATCTTAGAAATCATAGTGCATCTCTCCAAGCTATTGGAAGAAACCAGCATGCAAGGCGAGGCGAATTTATAAAGAGGAGGCATAACGAATCAGAGGGAATATGACATAATTTAATGATTTCAATAATGGAGTCCCATGTTATTTAACATGTCATACATGGACAACTTTAGATTTTGAATAAACAGCAATACTGCATATATATGTTTAGCCTATAGGGGTAGCATTGATAAATATTCTAGAATTTTAAAAAGGAGAAAGTTCAGTGACCTACATTTTTTGTCCTAAAATGTAGGTCACTGAATTTTCTTCATTTTCATATATTGTAGAAGATTATTAACCCTAATTGAATAATCTAGGTACATTGATGTGCTTTTTATGAACGACTGATTATGTACAACTTGTTTGGAATGGCCATATGAGTACCTGAAAATAATATGAGATTCTAATTAGAAAGCCACAATACAATGTATTTCTGAATAGGCTATATGAAACTACATTAAAGACATCTAGCTAGAATTCTTGAAAGTTCATTTTGATCAGCATTTACACGTCTTGCTGTTCTTTATAATAGGACTATTTTTCTCAACTGTCAATAACTTGAAATTACAAGTCTGGGACAACCTTCTTAAATATATGCTCAGAATAATAGCCACACTAACTCCCCACCCCCTTGCCCTTTAAGGCAGATCTGCATGATGAAAAATGTTTGCAATTTTGAAAAGAAGACTGTTCCATTTTCTAGCTATTTATACATGCTAAAGAATAATTAACATTCAATTTATAATCTGGGTACACGAGAGCACCTTTTATGAAAATGACAGATTTAGGCCGTTTTTGGAATGAGTTATGTTCATCCGAAAGAGAACATTGTTATCAAATTAACCATATTTTTTCAATGTGAAACAAATAATTACCTCTCATAATGAAGGTACTCTCTGTGTATATACTTTACTTACCGATTGGATATAATGGATATGCCTCCCTGGGTATTTTCACTGCTTATGCCCCTATAATATATCACGAACTATTGTTGTACTTACCTTTAAACAAGATGGTATGCTGGTATTTAATATAGCTTGTGTAAATCAGTATTAACGATTATGTATGATCAATAGCGAACATGTAATAATCGCCTGTACTTTGAACTGTTAAGTATTGTTAGAGCTACATGTACCTGTACTTGAAAATATTAAACACACTGGTGGTCCATTCGATTACGCTGGTTACCGAAACGGAACCGTTTTGGTTACAAAATGTCGGAACGTCGAAGGTACGATTTTTCTTTTTTCCTTATTTCACCCGTTGTAAGCAGAATCCCCACGACATTTTTTCACACAAACGTGTATTTGTATCATATGTTTTAGAAAAGGTACATGTTTGCGAAAAATAGCTCAGAAGACAACAGAATCGTCGATTTAATCCCTCACTTAAGTTACAGAAACGGTTTGGGTTAAAAGAGCAGATCTTAACTGTTTTTCGAAATATCGTTTCTGTAACTTAAGTGAGGAATTAAATCGACGATTCTGTTGTCTTATGAACTATTTGTTCGCAAACATGTACATTTTCTTATACATATGATACTGATATACATTTGTGATAAAAATGTCGTGGGAATTCTGCCTACAAGGTGTGAAATAAGGAAAAGGGAAAAATCGTACCTTTGACGTTCCGACATTTTGTTACCGAAACGGTTTCAGCGTAATCGAGTGGATCACCAGTGAAACAGTAAAACCAGTAAATGAGAACATATCTTTAAGTGGAACACTTCAAGTCGTTGTACCGATCACTCAATGTAAATGAACCTCTGTTCTCGAAAGACAATGGGAATAAAACTTATAAAGATTTCATTATATATTCAAAATTTAGTCAAAATACAACTATTCATTGAAAGTAAAATTTCTAGGAAGGGTAGATTCCTATAAAACCCATGTTAGAAACCATGAAAAGTCAAACATTTTTGTTGTGCTAATTAAATTGTTTTCTATTGAACACATTTTGAAGTTTTATCTAATTATCAAACATGAATGTTCAAGTTTATGAAGATGATATCTGACGTGAGAGAGCCACATTATAAATTATCATTAATGGAAATTCTAAAGACAAGCGCTTGTTTATTTTGGATTGATTGTAATTTGGCTAACTGGCCCATTGTACTTGAAGCGTCTCTTTTTTGGAAAAATACCATGGCCTTTGATTACCCAATTTTAGGTTTGATAGACTTTCATTTTTTACTGGTAACTACCACAAATACTTTCTGCACTCTTCAAATACATAAGTGTTCTAGTCATACAGGTTGTACTTTATATAGCATGTCATAGCATTGTTGTATAAATATTACTATACTACTGATTTTCTTGAATATGATAGAACATCCCGAGCTACATGCATGTATCAAAATACATGTTCAAAATATTTCACACACTATATCCTCTCTGTCCCTTTGACCATATTTTCAGTGTTGAACAAAATTAAGGTACACTCTGTACTTACCACTTGGATATGCCTCCCTGTATATTGTTCACTGTTAAGGCCTCTGCTAGAGTGTTTCATTTTTTCAACACAATCGGATAACGTAAAAACTGGTCCGTCGGCCATTCTTTCCGTCCCATTGGATTACAGGGTGGGCGACGCCCACTTTTCAATGGAAAACATTATTTCGCACTTCTTTGCTTATCATTTGCCAGGAATGATTGGAAAATGTTTTCCTGTTAAAAGCATATGGATATACATCAAAACACTTTAAATTGATACAAACTAGATTGTTGTAGCACTTTTTGTCGCCGAGATATTGTCAGTCTACTAACCTGTAGTCTACTGGGGGAGGGGGTCAAAAATAAGAATTGATTCCAGCCACTATTATTCTTAAAACATGTTTTATTAGATTTGCAAGGGGGATATTTGTTATTTTTATGACAATCGTTTTCTAAAATATTCAAATTGTTGATAGAAAAGAAAAACATTCGTGAATTTAACTACCCGATATATGCATTTTTTATTTGTTTGACCCCTGGACCAGTAGATCTGCAATATCTTTGCGATAAGAAGTGCTAGAACAGTCTAGTTTACATAAATTGAAAGTGTTTTGATGTATTTCTCAAATGATTACATCTGAAAAATTGGTTCTAATCATTTCCGGTAAATGAGCAGCAAAGAAGTGCGAAACATTGTTTTCCATTGAAAAGTGGGCGTCGCCCACAATGTAATTCAATGGGACGGAAAGAATGGCAGATTTTGTTGAAAGAAATCAGTGAACTACCAGCACCATTTGTGACCCCCTGTTAAAGGGCCGTTGTAATCTGAGAACATTCTTGAATGAAACACCCTAGCCTCTGCGTATTATTTCAAGAAGTATTTGCTGAGCTAATTTCAACAAGTTTTAAGATGGTAGTGGAAATGGTGTAATTTGGAAATTGGTATAAACAATTAGGAACGAGCACTCGCACATACACTCCCCTCCATAAGTTTGGCAACCCTTTTTCCCCCATTGAACTACGTGTTAAAGCCTCTTTACCTTTGAATTTTTATTTACTTAACCTGCGACGAAAATACGTATACTATTGATGGAAACGTAATTTGACTTTAATTCCAATACCTCCAAATTTTCACAATTTTTTTCCTCAATTACAATAGGTCGAAAATTGATGATAAATTTGATGAATTTTTGAAAATCGACATTCCCATGTTAACCAATGGGAAATGGTAGGTTTGCCGCAAGTCATATGACAGAATATCCATCTATCCGAGTCCTTGCAAAAAATACGAGTTAGGCAGGCAATTGAATTTGCTAACTTTATTTACAAAAAATTGATATGTTTCTTCAGGTTCAACAAAGTTATAGGGCTTTAAAGTCAAAATTGTTTTTAAAAAACCTCTCCCATTGAAATAACACAGGAGGCGAATTTTTTTTTCAAAAATGACTTTGAAAAAAATGTAACTTTAATATTCATCAAATAAACTAAACACTTAATGTTCAAAAAAGTTAGACAATTCAATTTTCTGTATGAAAATATTTTTTGCTGAATCTTTTACTGAAAAGATATCCTGATTTTTGATTTGCCCCAAACCCACCATTTCCCATTGGATTACATGGGAATGACGATTTTCAAAAATTCATCAAATTTATCATCAATTTTTGACGTATTGTAATTGAGGAAAAAATTGAGAAAATTTGGAGGTATTGGAAATAAAGTCAAGTTACGTTTCCATTAATATTATAAGTTATTACATCGCCGGTTAAGTAAATAAAAATTCAAACGTAAAGAGGCTTTAACACGTAGTTCAATGGAGAAAAAAGGTTGCCAAACTTATGGAGGGGAGTGTACGTTAACACCTCCTGTACATTGAACTGTTACTGATTGTAAGAGACGCGTGTGCTTGAATTACTATATGTATCGCAATATGTATCGCAAAAACTGTAAAGGACATCTTTGTAAATAGTAAACTTCAAAGTCGTCTTACCGATCACTCAGTGTAAAACGAATATTGATTTTCATCATTACTCGTATATTCAAAATCACATCAAAATTCAGAATCAGAATAAAGGAAAAAAATTGATTTTAATCATTGTCACTGCTACCCACCAAATTACACAGACGTATCGTCGGTGTATCATGGCGGAACTTCCTCCGGGACTAGGTTTCGTAAGATTTTTTTATTTCCCGATTTACACCTACTTATAAGTCACGTTGTGGATAATAATTTGGCTCGAAGTTAAGGAAGATAGTCTAGTTTGAGAATGTGTCGATGGTTTTAGGTTTTATATGTTAACAAAGACACAATTCACGTATTTAGTCCCTCGCTTTTCTTACACTGACGAACGACCAATATCAGTGTAATATTGGCAATATTAATGCCGATCGTCAGTGTAAGAAAAGCGAGGGTTGACAATAATCTGCCAGTTGAGTCAAAATCTACAGTTCCTTACAAAACATGCCCCAAATGTGCACCTCTCTTCTCTATGCACAATTCAATCTGGCGAACAAAGTTGTTGATGATCTTCCTCCACACATATCTTTCTGAATTAGGACAACTTTATTCCAAGAACAATTGAAACTTGGACTTACATCCTCCTGATGAAATGTTACAGCATCCATTGAATTCTGAACAATGCATTGCCTGGGTGGCAATGAGGAAACATGGAATCATCTGTCCTTTTTGGTTCGAAGGTGACTGGGGACATGCTTTCACCATGAACAAGGACAAGTAAGTTCTTGCTAGGTTTTGGAGGTCACTAAGGACCAGAAGGGACATCTAAGGAGAAAAGCAGTGGTTTCAACAAGCCAATACCACCCTAACACTGCAAATTAAATGATATGCTGAAATGGTTTAAGCAATGCTTCGGTGGTCAGCTCATCAGTCACAGAACGCAAACCATATGGGCAGCTCATTCGCCAGATCTAAATCCCCCAGACTTTTATCTTTTGGGATTTCTCAAAGCCAATGTGTATACTAACAGGCCCCTAACAATCTTAGGAGGGCAAAAACTATCCCAATGTGTACCATCCACATTGATGTGTATAGGTTAGGGTCATTAACAACTTGGTTCACAGTATTCATTTGTGTATAGAGAGGAGAATTGTCCACTTTGAGCTTGTTTTGTAAAGTAGTGTCGTTTTTGACACAATTGACAGACTATCATCAAACTTCCAGAACAAAATTCACATTGAATGAATTAAATAATTCTAAAATTTCAAGGCAAAATATGCAAAATTGACCGAATTATTCAACTTTCTCTACGGTCCTGTTTTTTGGACACCCTGTAAGTTTGGAAACCGTCACACGTTTAGCATTTTTATATCTCTAAAATTCATAAACAGGCTTAAATAAGTCCAATATTGAGGCCTTGCTCCCTATTAAGTAATCACCAGCAAAATAAAGTATTTTTTGGTAGCATCGGTAATGTCAAAATTGAAAAAGTTATTACAACATAAAGTCACTGTACTATACCTTGCATTTGGTGTTCATGAGCAGCCCATTTGTCTTATTGGTATAATGATTATGTTATTTGTTTTTATTTGTCTGTTCCTTATTAATGGTTTATCCGGATGACTGTTAGATATTAATAACAAAGGTACTTTCAAAAATATACTAAACAATACAATTAGACAAACAGAGTATCTTATGCATTTCTAGGGGTTAGGTATAGTAGAGTGTGAGTGCTGTACGATGTTTATTTTCGGAACACTCTAAAAATCTAGAAATCTTCTCGGTCATTCATATATGCGCAGGGATTATATTCAACAGATCTATCGAATCGATTGAGCTAAATTCAAACGATTCCTAAAATCTGAATATGAAAACGTACGCCCATTGTGTTTTATAGAAGTGGCCGCTGAACAAAAATATTGTTGTTAAAAAGGCCTTTATCGATATATTTGCATGTGGATAACATGACCCTTTATATTTAACAATATATATTCAACAATTATTTTATAGTTAAACATTGTATTTTACTGTTAACTGTACCCAAAGAACACTTTGCTATATAAGGAACAGTAAAAAGAGATAAATGTTACAGAAGTGAATGACACAGACGCAGACGTCGCCGTACCTATTTTAGTTTCCTGAATTCGAAGAACACTGTGACATAGAGGGCATGGAAAACAGTGGTAAATATCAAGAAATAGAACGAGAAATTAAAGAGACAGACGCTGGAATTATTTAAATAAAAATGGGAAATAAATTGCAGTTTAACATTGCATGCCTGCAGAAACCAACAAGCGTAGTTAACAACTGAAATGAATTCTAAAACTTATATTTAACCGAAATAGACAATTGAAAACTAAACTAAGCAATGGAATACAAAACAAGAATATGGATGTTGAACCGCTAAGATAAATATTGAAATATATCGGGTGACACAAAATGGTTAAACTACTGAAGACACTTTGCATATTGCTGGTTTTTATTATGCTGGCACAATTACTCGTATTATTTAAAATCTCTAAAGGGAACGTTGGTGCCGTCTCTAATAAAGTTGCTTTAAACGCGCAGCATGACCTGGACCCGCCTATTAAATTCGAGAATTCCCCGAATGAAGACTGGCCTCAGAAACAAGGCAATGATCCATTTCGACGAGACCGCATGCCGCTATGTATCGCCATCTTAGCAGGAACGCCACCTGGTAGAAGGAAAAATGCAGTTCCACGCTTACTTTATAATTTAGTTGAATTTGCTGAGGTACCTACTAAAAATATACACGTGTTTTATGAGAATATCGATCCTAGGGATCTAACTTATGATTCAGATAGACTTCGAGTTTTGATCCATTCATCTAATGGCCCAGTTTCAGCCTCCAACAATGTTCCCGAGATTAACGCTCATAAGTTAATTCGTCCGAACCTAACTAAGATTGAAAAGAAAGTCATAGATAGACAGAACTTTAACCTTGGAGGTATAGGATTTATGAAGGTCTTTAATAATGGTCAAAGGAAACCCCGTTCAACTAAAACTAAGCTGCGAAAATACATGACAATCACCCAAAACTACAAGTTCATGCTTGATCGCATTTTCAAGGATCTAAATTATAAATACTGCACTATATTAGAGGATGATTTACTTCTGTCTATGGACGCCGGAGACTATCTGGAAGCTGGGATTACATTAATGGAGAAAGACTCAACAATTATGTCCGTGTCACTATTCAACGATAATTCTTTCAGCTGGTGTGCAAGTAATGAAACATTTTTTCATCGAGTGGAACACTTTGGAGGACTTGGCTTTCTTATGTCAGGGAGACACTACGTTGATCTAATCAGTCCGAAGCTTAACATAGACGTACCATGGGACACAACATTTGAATATGAACTCGGAATTAATAAATTGGTGACTATTATACCAGAAGTTTCCCGTTCATTGCACATGGAAAACCAAGCAGTGAATACGCCCAGTGACCTACTCATCCCAGGGGATAACACTGAAGCCATATCCATGTACAACGGTCGACATATCAAACACACGTTTGATAACCTACAGGAGGCAGAATATGATGAATTTATCACACGATTCGTTCGTGAAGCTTATCATATTGACCATATTGAAGATGTAGCCTTTTTTTCCTCAAGGGAAGATGAACGAGTAAATAATTTTGTGTTTACAAACTGTGATACCCCTGAAGAGTTGGGCAAAGTGATGGAATCACTTAGATTGGTTGGAATGGGTAATGGAGGGGTCGTAAGAGGCGTTTATAAGGATACAGTATTCTTGCGTCCATATGGCAGTCAAGTTCTCATAGTATGTAAGCCCTCAATTTGGTACCAATTGGCCAACAGCGCTCCTAGTACCACGGATCTTATACGTACATTTGTCGACGAAAGGGCATTTAGGCGTCTCGAAGAAACGATGGGGCGTTCAAAGATTGGAGTTCTATACAGACTAGAAAACTTTGGATATGAAATACGAAAAGGAAGGAGTGGACAGTCGTGTTTCGATGTTTGCACTTCCCACAATGAAATCTGTGATACAGATGGAATAGCTATACTTGACACTAATTGTCGTATCTTAAAGGAGTTAGCCCCTGAGTATAAAAATTGTAAAGGGGCGCCCAAGTCTATATATAAAAGCAAGGGATTCTATTTGCCGGCTATGGATCGTGCAGGAGACTGGGTAATATCCAAAAGGAAACCAACATTTTATTTCTACAACTGCCATGCATTTAAATATGGATTCAATCGCATTTGCGCCTGTAAATGGAAAGCCAATGAGTTTGATTAAAGGAAAGCCTTGCTCAAATATGTCTTTTGTTGTTGTTTCTGTAAATGGAAAGTCAATGAGTTGGATTAAAGGAAAGCCTTTCTCAAATGTTTGTTTGTTGTTGTTTCTGTAAATGGAAAGTCAATGAGTTGGATTAAAGGAAAGCCTTGCTCAAATATGTCTTTTGTTGTCGTTTCTGTAAATGGAACGTCATTGAGTTGGATTAAAGGAAAGCCTTGCTCAAATATGTCTTTTGTTGTTGTTTCTGTAAATGGAAATTAAGCCAATGAGTTGGATTAAAGGAAAGCCTTGCTCAAATATGTCTTTTGTTGTTGTTTCTGTAAATGGAAAGTCAATGAGTTGGATTAAAGGAAAGCCTTTCTCAAATGTTTGTTTGTTGTTGTTTCTGTAAATGGAAAGTCAATGAGTTGGATTAAAGGAAAGCTTTGCTCAAATATGTCTTTTGTTGTCGTTTCTGTAAATGGAACGTCATTGAGTTGGATTAAAGGAAAGCCTTGCTCAAATATGTCTTTTGTTGTTGTTTCTGTAAATGGAAAGCCAATGAGTTGGATTAAAGGAAAGCCTTGCTCAAATATGTCTTTTGATGTTATTTCTGTAAATGGAAAGTCATTGAGTTGGATTAAAGCAAAGCCTTCTCAAATATGTTTTTTTGTTGTTGTTTCTGTACACTACTTGATAATGTCAAAATCCATTTTAGTGCAACATTTAGCTCAGGTGATACGTGAAATGATTATATGAAAGGCCCTGAACAAAGTTTTATAAGATTGTTAACTTAATCATCTAAATATACAGTATCATGATTTAAAGAGTTGTTTGAGAATTTGGGAAAAATGTTTACTTAATTTGATGCTATTTGAATTGTGTGCCATTTTGCGGCAATGCAAATATTCACATTTTTGATCAGAATACAGAATAATTCAGCACTATGAACTGAGAAACACGTTATTTTTTACACTGCATTGGATAGATCAAGTAGAAGTTACAGTAAATTATTCCTTCGACAATCCAATCCCATGTTTACGAGGCCCGATCAGAAAGTAAGTAACCAACTGCTCTTAGTTCTTCATACTTTATTCAATCACATCGAAATTTTCACAGATGATGTAGAAAATATTAACCTATTAAACAAGACCAAGGACAATGGGTTAGCGTCAATTCCATTGTTATTGCTGTTGCTAGGGTGACAGTTGTTTTGGGTAGGTGGGGCACCCTGTTTTAAGTCGCGTTTGAAGATAATTTGTAGTTTTTCTACATGTTGTAAAACCTCCAAATATATCAAATTCACATGTAAGATTACATTTTAACTCATATTCCTTCAAATTATTCACCACCAAGGTCAGTGAAGTTGAGACAAAGTTTCACTCTGTCCTTAAAGATCGAAGTGCAACATGTCACCATTCAATGACTGCAAAAGTGCCATTGAAAGCTTAAATTATGGCTTTATTGCCGTCTAAACGGACTCTCCGTAACAACATCTTTGCATCTGGAAAGAATTTAGTCATATGGGGCCAGGTCTGGGGAATGGTGAGCCTGGGGTAGTTGTGTGACCATGGAAAAGGCTTAATATATTGTATCTTTGGTAATGTTGGCTCTGTGGAGGTGGACCATTGTCGTCATGCCAGTAAAATTCCCCTTCAGCAACATTTGACTGGATTGAAACTGCGACTGAATCAAGACCATCATTGTGACAGATATACCCTTGATTTCTTTGTGTCGATGACTTATAAATAGGAAAATGGAGCGTAGTTACAATTGTGATAATACATAAAACAAATTATTCAGTCTTGTATAAAAAATTGTTAGGTCATTTGGAGGAATACAGCATGTAAAAAACTCAACAAATCATCTTCCAAAGCCGCTTACAAAAGGGTGCCCCACCTACCCAAAACAATCATCACCATAGCAACAGCCATAACAATGGCATTGACGCTAACCCATTGTACTTGGTCTTGTTTAATAGGTTAATATTTTCTACGAGGCCCGATCAGAAAGTAAGTAACCAACTGCTCTTAGTTCTTCATACTTTATTCAATCACATCGAAATTTTCACAGATGATGTAGAAAATATTAACCTATTAAACAAGACCAAGGACAATGGGTTAGCGTCAATTCCATTGTTATTGCTGTTGCTAGGGTGACAGTTGTTTTGGGTAGGTGGGGCACCCTGTTTTAAGTCGCGTTTGAAGATAATTTGTAGTTTTTCTACATGTTGTAAAACCTCCAAATATATCAAATTCACATGTAAGATTACATTTTAACTCATATTCCTTCAAATTATTCACCACCAAGGTCAGTGAAGTTGAGACAAAGTTTCACTCTGTCCTTAAAGATCGAAGTGCAACATGTCACCATTCAATGACTGCAAAAGTGCCATTGAAAGCTTTAATTATGGCTTTATTGCCGTCTAAACGGACTCTCCGTAACAACATCTTTGCATCTGGAAAGAATTTAGTCATATGGGGCCAGGTCTGGGGAATGGTGAGCCTGGGGTAGTTGTGTGACCATGGAAAAGGCTTAATATATTGTATCTTTGGTAATGTTGGCTCTGTGGAGGTGGACCATTGTCGTCATGCCAGTAAAATTCCCCTTCAGCAACATTTGACTGGATTGAAACTGCGACTGAATCAAGACCATCATTGTGACAGATATACCCTTGATTTCTTTGTGTCGATGACTTATAAATAGGAAAATGGAGCGTAGTTACAATTGTGATAATACATAAAACAAATTATTCAGTCTTGTATAAAAAATTGTTAGGTCATTTGGAGGAATACAGCATGTAAAAAACTCAACAAATCATCTTCCAAAGCCGCTTACAAAAGGGTGCCCCACCTACCCAAAACAATCATCACCATAGCAACAGCCATAACAATGGCATTGACGCTAACCCATTGTACTTGGTCTTGTTTAATAGTTTAATATTTTCTACATCATCTATGAAAATTTCAATCTGATTGAATGAAGTATGAAAAAATGAGAGCAGTTTGTTACTTACTTTCTGATCGGGCCTCGTATATGTATACGTTCAGTAAGTAAAGCTAATTTTGCTCTCAAACTTTTATTTTTTGTCATTTATCTTTCAAATTTTCAGTGAAAAAGCATTTGACATTTTCCTAACTACCATGAAAAATTAAATAAAATATGATGAATAATAGCAAAACAATGGTTGTCATAGTAACGTGAATACGGGTTCTGCGGAGCAATTTCTTACTTTAATAAAAATGTTATAATGCAATGAAATTGATTAAGATTAATGCTGCATATGTCTTTGTTTGCTATGGCTGAAAGTCACGACAAACATAACAACAACATACACAGATATGATACCATGGCAACAGTAGTCTATGACATCACAGACAGATGATACAACAGATGGAATGATCCAGAGTGATCCATCAGACACTGCTCCATGACATCATCAAAATCATGGCTGCAGGATTGCCAATGGAAGCAAAATGAACAATGAAATGAAACAACAATTGAGAAGTAGCATCAGATACAATGTGTTGCTAGGGAAATCCAAGCAGGATACCATTAGGGATATCCAAAATGCATATGGGGACAGTGTGCCTAAGTACACAATCTACAAATGGTATCAGAAATTCCAAAAGGGGAGAAAAACAACAAGTGATGAGCCAAGGTCAGGGAGGCCAAAACCTCTAACCAACGAGGCTAACATGAATCATTTGAGGCAATTGTTAGATGAAAACCGCAGTATAACTGTAAGGTAACTCTCAGAACTAACCAATATCAGCCTAGGATGGGTACATTATCTGATTCACAATTCTCTAAATATGTCCTTGGTGTCTGCGAAATGGGTACCAAAGAATCTGACCGACGGGCAGCGTAGAAATCGCCTGGAAGATTCAGTTGCATTCTTGCGCCGTTACAAAGATGAGGGAGAGGACTTTCTAAACAATCTTCTCACTTGTGATGAAACTTTTGTTCGATACTTTGAGCCAAATAGTACAAGACAGAACAGTGCGTGGCGAACAAAGAACTCTCCAACACCCGTGGGGATCGTTGCAAAGCTAGCTCTTGGAGCATCAGCGGGGAAAGTCATGTTTATCATTTTTATAGACATCGAAGGTCCATTGTTGGCTCATGCCGTGCCAGAAGGGCAGACTGTTAACAAGAAATATTATGCCATGGTAATTACATTTTATGAAATATATCTTTCTAATAATTAGCTTGGTTTGAGTACTAGGTCTACCTATAACATAATACAAAGAAAACATTTTAACTTAAACATCAAATGATCAAATTCACATTTCATTTTCAGGTGCTGCGGCACCATCTTGTGAACGCGATTCGCAAGAAGAGGCCCCATAGGACTCTCAACTCCTACATATTCCATCAAGATAATGCGCCATCGCATAGGTCGCAAATGGTGCAGGATTCTATCCAGAAAACGCTGGAGATGGAGGTTCAAGGCCAGTCAGCGTATTCTCCTGATAAGGCACCGTGCGATTTTGGGGGTATTTTCATGTTTGAAATATGATCTGCGTGGTAAGATCCACGCAAATATCCACGAGCTTCAGAATGCCGTTCAACGTTCGCTGACAAAGAACTTTCCAGATGGCTTCCACAGGATATATCAGAAGTGGATAGAACGACATCAGCTGTGTGTGAAAGCTAAGGGGAACTACTAGTACTTTGAACATGAAATAGAATGCTAACTTGAAAGTAGAAATGTGGAGTAGCCACAGAACTATGGTTGAAATATAGACAGGACAGAAACTAACGTTAACAAAATCTACTATGCTTTGAACTTATAAAACTGCTCCGCAGAACCCGTATTCGCGCTACTATGACAACCACCATTTTGCTGTTATTCATCATATCTCGATCTTTTCTTCAGGATAGTTAGAAAAGTGTCTGATGCTTCTCCACTGAAAATTTGAACGATGTTAGACAAGAAATAAAAGTTTGAGAGCAAAATTAGCTTTACTTACTGAACGCCCTGTACATCTTATCTATTTAGCATTTTTAAGGATAGTGATGTCATCAGGTAACGCCATGATGTCATTTAGGGTGCATAGATTATCAATGTTTTCTCAATCTTTTCTAAATATGCTAAACATTTAGAATAAAACAATACCAAATCCCTATACTAGTTGAACAAAGTGTTTATCACATTTTAGATACATGTACCTCTGCTTCATTGGTTTCAATGTGAACTTAAATCTTTTTCTCTGATTCTCTCTTATTCTTCAACCAATCTTCTTAATATTTCAACACAAAACATACTAGTATAAGCACTGGCTGAGCCTCCCCCTTGGGTGGGCCTATAAAAAATTGGGCCCAAAAAGATTTTGGGCCAAAAAAGGCCTTAAGGCCCCAAAAATGGACCTTTTTGGTCTGGTCATTACTTGGCCTTCTAAGGCCTTATTCTTTAATTTTAGGCCAAATTGTGAAGAAAATGGGACTCAAAATTTCAAAAGTTGGGCCTACTTTTGGGTTTTAGGGGCCCAAATTTTTTTCCGCGTAAGCGCCGACGTTTTTTCACTGACCTGATATTTGCCCCCCCCCCCTTCTTGGTTCCCAGATCCGCCCTGATAAGGATGCATACTATCCATTGGTGTAAATTTCTGCTTATAAAAAATGCAAAAGGTTTTTGAAATAAGTTCAATCTTTTTTAAAAAAAAGTCCTATATGAACACGTTTCTATATCATTTGGTAAGACTACGTTATAAAAGTGCCTATGACATACCTTTAATTCAAAATCGCCGTTCAAATAGCTAATCGATTTAATTACGTTTAATTAAAGATATAGGAGCGAATCCCCAATATGCAACATGTTCATGTATGTATCTTTCGCACTTACTGTATCCGGAATCTTAAATTAAAAAATGCTACCACCACTATGGTTAAATCGAAGATATGTGGGACAATAAGTGAAATAAATATTTCTTACAATATCATTTATGGGCATATTTGGATCTACAGGGTGGGCCAAAAATAACCATAATCCAACTTCAAATCAGGATAAAAATAGTTACGTTCAATATGGTGCATTGACTTATATATCATTTTAAAGATTAAATATTTTCAAACAATTTGGTATATTACGCTGTGTCATAAAATCAATAGTAAAGGTATATTATACTTATTTGGGAGGTTGGTATTTATAGGGTTTTGGGCCACCCTGTACTTCTCCTTTAAAAAGGGGGGCACCTGGGATGGATGCGGTGAATAAGGAATAATGAGGAAATCCTGGGTTTGAAAGAGAAATAACTTCACTCTTTGATGCAAATGAGAATAAAAATCAATGCCAACATCCGACTTAATGTACATAATAGTAATGAAATAAATTTAAAAAAATATTGAGGAATGAATAATATCATACAGATTGATTACATCTGCTAGGGTTTCATCCGGTAGCGAACCTTTGGAAGGATTCAAAGTTTTACAAATGTAACTTGGTTTAGAAAAGTGTTTTGGAATATACTAGGCCTAATTTTCTATTTAACATTGACATGCAAAAATAAGTTGTTTACTTTTAGTTTCTTATTCATATACTTTGCTGTATGTGACTATAGAGGTTCAGATGTGTCTAAGACTATATAAATAGCACCATTAGTTTGCTCGACTAAGAACTAATTCATATTTACATTTACAAAGCAGTAGAAGAATTTCTATTGATAAGATGTTTTGTGAAGCGCATATTATTCTTAAGTCAACAAAAATCTCGAAGTTTCCTATTCAAATAGAATTCGGGCATTTGTGTTAAAGATTTAGAATTTAAAAATACAAGGAATATGCTGCATTCAAAAGCTGTGCTCTCTTCTTTCAAAACTGATTGTAAAAATAGCTATTTGAAAAAGGTAAAAGAGTTTTCTACTAGAACCTTATACTGAACGGGGACTGAACTGAATTTCAATTTCTGTCCTGAACGGAATCGTAAACCTAGGATTAAGAATCCCAGCCCAAACGTTATGGTGTAAGAGAGCCTTGGATATTGACAATATAGAAGTCAAAACTTAATATACACAGATGACTTGTGACGTCGGAGAAGCCAATAGTGATTATTAGGTGATACTACTGACTTTAAAGAAGACAATACAATAGCAAAATACACTATGATACAAAATGGTTAAACGATTCAAGATTGTCTGCATGTTGGTAGCTGTAATGAGCTCAGTGCAGCTAATGTTATTCGTCAATATTCAAAAAGGAAATGTCGATCGTGCAATTTTACAATTTGACTCACTCATTGGAGATTTGCCTAAAAAGCTCTCACTCCCACGTGAACAATTCCAAGATGGCGGCTCACTTTGTGTTGCGATATTGACAGGAGCTCCATCTGGTGAACGGAAAAAATCAGCACCTCGCTTATTACGTAATTTAATTGAATTTGCTGAGATACCAACCGAAAACATACATGTATTTTATGAAAATATTGATCCTATGGATCTAAGTTATGATCTGAAAAGACTTGAAATTCTGCTCAATCCAGCTACTAAGCCTAACTCTATCTCTAATATCGGCATACCTAAGATCAATGCCCACAAAATTAACTATACAGGATTACCCTATAAGCTGAAAAAACACAGACTGATTACCTTTAACTATAAATTCATGCTAGATAGGATATTCAAAGATTTAAGATACAATTACTGCACGATATTAGAGGATGATTTGATTTTATCTATGGACGCTGCAGATTATTTAAAAGCTGGGATGAAATTAATGGAGAAAGACTCAACAATTATGTCCGTGTCACTATTCAACGATAATTCTTTCAGCTGGTGTGCAAGTAATGATACATTTTTCCATCGAGTGGAACACTTTGGAGGACTTGGTTTTCTTATGTCAGGAAGACATTACGTGGGTAAAATCAGTTCGAAGCTAAACACAGAAGTGCCAGCCCTACCTTGGGATGAAACATTTCAACGTGAACTTGGACGATATAAAATGGTGACTATTTTTCCCGAACTCTCGCGTTCATTACATGTTGAAAACCAAGAAATTAATGTCCCTAGTGATCTACGTATACCTCGTGACGACACGGAGGCTATATCGATGTATAATGGTCCACGTATTCAACACATCCTCGACACTTTAGGAGAAAGTGATTATGATGAATTCATTACACAATTCGTCCGTGGGGCTTATAAAATTGAACATATTGAAGATGTGGCATTTTTCTCTCATAGTCAAGATAAGCGCGTACTTAATTTTGTATTCCCAAACTGTGACAGCCCAGAAGAGCTGAACTCAATGATGGTAGCACGTGGACTTGTTGGCTTTGGGAATGGAGGAATCGTTAGAGGCGCTTATAAGGATACAATATTCTTGCGTCCATTTGGGAATCAAGTTCTTATAGTTTGCAAGCCTTCCATTTGGCACGGAGTTGCCAGCACCGCTCCGAGTGCAACGGATCTTATACGTACATTTGTCAATGGAATTACATTGAAGCGTCTCGAACGAACAATGGGGCGCCCAAAAATGGGTATCCTATACAGTTTAGAAAACAATGAATTTCAAATACGAAAGGGTAAAAGTGGACAGTCGTGTTTTGATGTATGTGCTGCCAACAATGAAGTCTGTGATAGAATTGGAATATCTATGCTTGATACAAACTGTGGGGTCCTAAGGGCATTATCTTCCGACTATAACAATTGCAAGGAGTCTCCTTTGACTATATATAAGAGTCTGGAATTCTATCTACCGGCGATGGACCCAGACGGAGACTGGTTGATTTCTAGGAAAATCCCTTCATTTTATTTCTATAATTGCTATGCAGCTAATTCAGAATTTAGTAGAATATGTGCATGTAAATAGATTAGAATAATAAATAAATATAATTTTAACCCTGTCTATATTTCAATAGATTTACATTTACTAAGCTTGTAATCGCGATGCAACGTTCGGCTGTCGGCTACTGGATTACTAGTTACCTACTATTTTACGACCAAATTAATCAAATATGAATGGAATAGTGACAGGTACTATTCATGTCTAAACGAGTTGCCTTTAAAATAGTAGGTTAATCAGGTAGCCGACAGCCGAAAGTTGCATTCGCGAATGCAAGCAAAGTATCGCACATCATTCCTATTTGTAACAAGGTTAGTTTAAATTACTCTGGATTTAGCGCCAATATGAAGTGAACTTAAGTTAATCTTTTCAACGTTTTTTTACTTTGCTTTGCTGAATACATCACGTCATACGTAGAAAAATAATGTTACAAGTAAACATCAGGAAAACCTTGAGGAAGTCATCTGACCCACTGGCGCATCCTTGAGTGGGCCAAGAAAAAATTTCAAGGGCCCTGAAAAAAGATTTGGCTCCAAAGATTTCGTTGGTCCTCAAACAATGGGGCTTTTGGGCAAAACTTGACCTTTTTAGGCTAAATTATCAAAAACTGGACCTCAAATTTTCCAAATTTGGGCCCATATTTGGGGTTTAGGCCAAATATTCAAAAACTGGACCTCAAATTTTCAAAATTTGGGCCCAAATTTTGGTTTTAGGGGCCCAGAATTTCATATGGCAACCCAAAAATGTGTGTGTTAAAGATTTACTTTCCTGTTATCTCAAAATCTGCTTGGAACAGTACCATTGGATTTCTATGAGAAATTCCTCAAAGAGACTAAGGAATGAGTAAAGTTTACACAATTTGAAATTTTAGGCATACATGAAACTCATTTAAAACAGCTTTTATATTATTCACTGAAAAATGACTTCTGGTTCATCAATTATTTTTATATACATAATGAGTCTATTCCATGAGCTAAAACATTAGCGGCAATTGTAATCAATAAGAATTAGAATGCATCAACATTAATAAGGTCTATTGTAGTGCTATAGCTCGTAAAAGAAACTATTATCTCATGTGCCAGGATTGTGTCAATACTAAATTCTATCAACTATGTTCAAGTTCTGAACCAAATGATGAAGATGGGAAGTTCGCAGTCCTGCAAATAGATTTTCATGCTAGTAATCTTTTTATGTTATAAGGTGTAAGCTCTTCTATATTCTATTATTTTCAAAATAGTTTTCTCCCAAATAAACTGCTAGATTTTGTGGGAATTGGGGAGTGTCTTGTATCTTTTAGTTGCCTAGCCTGGGTATGTCCATTATTTTATTGGAACATTGAACCCAATCCCAATTGACCTTTTTCCATATAGATTAAAAATAGATGGCATCATGGGTATTGGTAGGGCAAGGGTAGGGCTAGAATACATGTAAATGTATTGCCAGAGTCACTTAATTTCTTGATTTAAGAAGTATTTCCATTTGGATCAACTTAAAACATCCTTTGAACGTAACTATATGATCGTATTACACGTGGATTGTGATTTCACATTAAAATGAGTAACTTTTTCAGCATTGTGTCAATGGGGATTTAGCCCGACCTTAGAAAAATCATTAGAATTTGAATGAAGGTAAATAACAGTGCAAATCAAAATTGTTTTGATAGAAAATTACACACAGAATTAAAATATGCCATCAAACAGAAGAAAATGTTAAAAATGCAGATCTCCTAAAATCTCATTAAAACGAGACTTTAACGAGATTTCAAAACTATATGGAAAAAGGACCATTGGTTAAATATTTCAGAGCCAAGCTCAAATCAAAGTTCGATGACTGGGATCACAAACGATATGTGAGTTGAATGGAAAAATAGGGTTTTTATTCGTGTAGGTGAGAAAGATTATTTTGGGATGTAGAATTAAATAGTTTAGATACAGATGCCTTGCAATATTTATCTCAACAGAAAAAATGGTGTCTTTAAAGGGTAAGAGGACAAAAATTCTCCAGTGCCAGGTCTTATTGGAAAACCCTTAAATGTTCAACAGAAATAATAATAGCCCAATAAGAATTGCTCGTCCAGAATATTCTGATATTATCATGGACGACCTTAAGCAAGTTGCTGTTATTTCAAAAGATTGTCCGATAAAGTACGTAGGGGAAAGGAGTAGAAACACTGAATCAACCGGTACAGAGTAATTCATGAATGATCAATAAATCATGATTTTGTCAACCGATATAATTATCACAGCTATGGGAACTTGCATCACTTGTGGGCAGTTAAACTGTTAACTTGGGTCACAAAAACCGTGTGCACCTCAATGTACCCCAATGGGAAGGTGTAGAGTTGGGCAACGGTACATGCGCTCCCAATGATTTATGGAAGTGAACAACAAAGGCAGTCGTCGGTTCGTGGCTAACTGTTCAATGTCTCGTTTCTCATGCTGGTTCTCATAATGATCTTTATACTGTTCCAAATGAAACTGTATTTTAAATATGATTTATCTAAAAACAAGATTTATTGACAAGAAAATGAGACTTCATTATGCCACCTTGTCTAATCCCATTTTAGTGCTTTTTGCCCCTGTTTATATAAACATAAAAGGTGTTTTCTTTATGATCGAGGGAAATATGTTCAATCAAATGGTACAATAATTTTTGTGGGAAAGTATCGGACAACGAAACTTTTTTTTGAGGGACCAGATCAGCGACTACAGGGCTGTTCTGTTGGGATGATGTTGGGTGAATAATATTTCCACATTTGGAATCCGAAGATTGTGCACAACCTACCAACAGTGTCTTGGAGCGAATCGCTAAGAAATATCTTTGTAATAGAAACAGTGAACATAAAATATTAAAATTTAACATGGTACAACCTGACCTTCCAAACACCAATATTTGCTTACTTGAACATGTTCAATATTTAACATTATTTCTTTGAGTACAAAGCACAAGCTAGAACTTTAACTGTAGACATATCTTTGACACTCGTACACTGGCGACAAGGTAGCAACCGTTAAACGTTATCCAGATACACCAGGTAAGACCTTCTTTATATATTAGGCAAATGAATGAATATGTACGCGACTTATTGAAGACACTTGAAAAAATAGCAATGGCCGTAAAAGCAGAACACTTCTTATTAGTGTATATTATTACTAACATACAAAATGTTTACTTAAAGGCAAGTTGTCAAAACATGTGAAACATCAACGAAATGGCTTCACTTGGCCGACATCTTTCAAAATGGCCCCTACGAGTAGCCAAATTACCATTAGATGGTGTTTATTTTGTGAGCAATACCTCTTGGGTATATCCCGTACAAATACGGTCGTAATTTACGTATTATTTACTATATTTGCACATAGCCATCTTTTAGATAGATGGCTATGCAAAACTCGATATTCCCAGTCCTTTATAAAGGTCTTTCGGAAATATGTAAGAAATCTTGGAAACATTTACCCTACTTCAATCGATGCATAACATTCTAAAATAAAGTTTTTCTAACCATATCGGGCTAACCGGAGTCGGGAGACAGCGTAATTGACGAAAAAATGTTGAAGAGACGATAATTTCCAAGATGGCTTCTCGGGAAGTTTGGTAATGCGCATGCACCTCCATGTCATGAGATTTCCCATGCGCATTGGCAAGACTTCCTGGTAAGACGACATGGAAAATAACAAGTTCCAAATACATTTTTCGTCAATTACACTGTCTCCCGACTCCGGTTAGCGTTATACAACGATACTTTATGATGTTATACATCGATTGAAGTAGTGTAATTGTTCCCACGATTTCTAACATTTCATTAGATTCTTTGTGGAAAGTGCACTTCACATCTACAAGTAATTTATAAATGAAAAGTTCGCTTACGATTTACATACGGGGTTATCGAATTCTACGACCACTTTAGATTGTGGTCGTACGCGCGAATTATTGGTCAGTCAATGTTTTTACAAAGTTGGAGAAAATACTACGCATTGCACACCTAAATGACCTACATGTACCTCGATACATTCCTTAGTATTTTAGAATTCTTTTTATTATGTAGATGAATCGCCAATTGTATGGGTTTATCGGCAGAACGAAGAGGTTTTCGTTTTTACATCGGAAATACACTATGTCAGCAATTTTCAAAATGTCGGAAGGGGAATTCCCCAGGGATTTCCCTTATGACTGGTGCATACCGGGAACTGAATGGAGGAATTTGACCGTTGAAATAAGCTAAATATTACACGCAAATTGATATCAAAAACGAAAACCTCTTCGTTCTGCCGATAAACCCATACAATTGGCGATTCAACTACATAAAAAGAATTCTAAAATACTAAGGAATGTATCGAGGTAGGTCATTTAGGTGTGCAATGCGTAGTATTTTCTCCAACTTTGTAAAAACATTGACTGACCAATGATTCGCGCGTACGACCACAATCTAAAGGGGTCGTAGGATGCGATAAATACAGGGCGTTCAACAAGTACTGATAAAAATGCTGTAACTTTTTAATTTTTTATATTTTCTGATTAACTTTTCTACTGTACATTGTTAAGCGTTGTACTGATGTACTGTGATAGTTACAAGAATGTACTTTAACAGGAAGATGGTACTGGGTGGAGCCTAATGTGGTTCGTCGTGGTTCAGGTCTGCACGAAATTACTTTCAAGATAACCGAATTAAAATGTGAACATTTTCATACATAATTCTATTTTTGAATCCATTTTGACAGTTGGTAAATAAACACTGGTATTAAGATACCTTGGCAGTACCTATTGAATACATCAATGAGCAAATTGTAAGGTTGGAAATCACATCACAGAGCAATTCATAAGAATACTATAACATATCACGGTGGGCCAATATCACAGGGCAATTTAAGATCAGATGACTTCATGGAGAAATAACATCACGGACTCTGAATAATATTGGTTTGGATACAGAAATGAGGGGGGCGGGTTTTTGGAAATTTAATAATAGTTTGCTACAAGATGAGGAGTACTCTTTAAGCATCCGAAGCCTCATAACAAAATTACGTGACGAGCACCGTGATCTCAGCAAGATCGAATTATGGGAATTCATGAAGTTCAAAATTAAGGAAAAGACAATACATTTTTCAAAGTTAAAATGTCGTGAAAATCGAAAAGCTGAACTTGAGTTACTAAAGGAGATCGAACATCTTGAATCTTTAATTGCAAGTGACGGCTCTACCTTAATCTCTTCGGTATGTGAAGCCTATGAAAGAGCAAAAGTCAAACTTGAAAAAATGTGTATCTATAAGGCGGAAGGCCATTTGATCCGAGCAAAAATTGA